TGGCAATCATGTGACCACGGGGACACTGCAACCATCATAAATACAAGCTGGTTGCCAAGTGCCCAAATTTTGATCATTTGACCGCAAGGATGCTGCAACGGTTGTAAGTGCAAAGACTGGTCATAAGTCATTTTTTTCAGCATCATCGTAACTTCGAATGTCATTAAACTAATGGTCTTAAATTGAGGACTACCTGTAGGCAAGAGACTGGGCAGCATTACATTTGCATTAGTTTCCTCTCTGGGAATATTAACACTGTAGCCATCATCCTTGAATAAAATACTATGAAATAGCAACAATTGTTGGGAGCCAGATTTGATCTGCAGCAGCTCTCATTTCACAGTGGAAATAGTGATTAACCAAGTAATTCATTGTTTTTCATTGGATTTCTTTTCCTTTTTTTTTTTTTTTTAATATCGGAAGACCCAAGATGTCACTGATCATTGTGAAAAAGAAGTGCCTCTGTCGCTTCTTCACTGACTCTAACAGGGGCCTGAAGAATCCTCCTGTTGGAACTGTTATTGATACAGAAGCCACCCAACCTAAATGGCAAGTATATATGGTCACAACCAGAGAAACTCTTGTCTGCATATCCCAGGGATAGACAAACCTTTTACAGTTGGAGGAGGCACACTTCTTTTACAAAGGAGCATTGTTGGCGATATGATGCTCTGGTGGGTTGGGCTGAAATTTTTGATGATTTTGAGATGCTGGAAGGTTTTTAAGAGAGAAAATAGGTGTGTTAAGCACTGCTTTGCATGCATCAAGAACATGCAGTCAATCCTCCTAAATTAACATCTGCTTAGCCTACTATAGATACATAATATAAATAGTACCAAGCTCCTTTACACTGAGTTACATGTACTAATGACTTAATTTAATTTTTAAGGTTTTTTTAAAAAATTCCTTGTGTTTTTACTTTAGTTGCAGTTAATCTCCTCAAACGTTCAAGTGAAGAGGAAGGCAGGATGGATATCTAAGAAATCCATCTTTCAATGAATTATTGCCTTTATTGTTACTGTTAATCAGCTCACACTACATGAAATTTTTCCCAGTACTAATTCTCCCTTTGTCCAACAGGTATGACTTTTTCTTGATTAGCCAACTTGCAGGCCAAGGTACTGTCAACCCCACATACTATAATGTGGTTTATGATGACAACAGGTTGAAGCCAGACCATATGCAGCGGCTCACTTTTAAGATGTGTCACCTCTACTATAATTGGCCTGTAAGTAGCACCCCTGATGCCATCAGCCTAGAACTTGTCCATCCCATCTTCTGGTGAAGTTAGGAAGGAAATGGTCTCTTATTGCTTTCCCCAATCTGGCATCTTCCAGATGTGGTGGACTTCAACTCCCAGCCTCCCCAGCCAGCATGGCTTACTGAGAATGCTGGAAGTTGTATCCCAATGTCTCTGAAAAGAGAGAGATGACCTCTCTACCCCTCCTGATCCCACCATTTCCCTTGGCTTCCGTTCATGTGCAGTAGCACCACTGTTCACTCCCCAACCAGTTAAGCAGCTGGCCACGCAAGGTTCTTGGATTTGCCCATTGTACCCTGGCCTGCACAGCTGCCTGCTCTGAAGACTCCCTCAGAATGAGTTTCCTCACGCAGATAGCCAGGCTGGTAAGTTGTTTAAGATGCTCTAAGCTCCATGAAGCAGTTGCTCTGAACAGTGGATTGGAGGGCAGCTGGCGGAAGCCTGGCCCAACTCGTTGCCTATCTTGCTCCACCAGCTGAAATGCATGCTAGAACAACCCTTTCTAGAGTACTCAGCTAGGGAAGAAGTGTGAAATATTCTAAATACATATGGTTCTAAATACAACTATACTTTCAACTTGTAAGTGCCCAATCCAGGGTGAGACCCGCCTTCTGTTTGTAATCCCTGTCTGGAACTAGACTAACTGCTGGATATCATTGACTGGAGGGTTCAAGGACTCTGTTTTTTTTACCAGACACCAGAAACAGCTTGCTGCTTTTGGCCATAGGTGGCAGTGCAAGATAGTGACATCCCCATCTTTTTTGCTTCCTAGGGGCTAATCAGAGTGCCAGCACCTTGTCAATATGCCAGCAAGCTGACATTTTTGGTCAGCCAGAGCATCCATAGAGAGCCTAGCCTAGAACTTGCAGACAAGCTTTTCTATTTGTGAAGATGCTAGAGAAGGAACAGCAGTGAAGAAGATTTTGGCTTTGAAGAAAAAGCACTGTCTTCGCTTTTGGGGCTGCTTCAGTTCCAGAAAGAGGAGGTGTAGCATTTCCTTGCCTCCACCTCAGTAACCCTGGAGTAAAAACCTGATGGTTTGTTGTATGTTTTAATGAGAATTTTTTTGTATGAAATTCTCCGTTATTTCAAGTTGTTTATTCTCATAAGTAAAGATTTAAGATTGTGCAACTATCTTAGAAAAAATATTTTAGAAAACTATTTTGTAGCTTAGTTACTTTTATTACTAATACGTTTTAATAAAACATACCTTTAATCCCAGATTATTTTTATTGGCTGAACAATGCTTGAGCATAATTTATTATCAATATTAATACTTTATTTTATTTCTCATGTTGCATATAAAAGAGTCTTCCTGAGGTAGGTGCCCTCCAGGCGCGTTGGGCTTCAGGTATTATAACATTTTATTTTTTTTAATTATCTTAATACATCAAATAAAACAACAAAATATATGGAGATATACATAACTGTGACAACAATATGATGTAAGTTTAACATTTAAAAAAGAAAAACACTTTTTAAAACACCATAAAAACGCCATTTTATTTTATAAGGTATTTAAATGATTGCATAATATCTAACTAGCCCTTCCCAGATTAGGGAAGACTGATATAAATGATGCATAATACATAAAATAAAAGAAGTTAGAGTTCCCCTCTGCTAGGAAAGAGTTACAGGCACTAGGCTAACACAAGAGTCGAGCCTAACATGAGGCATAACTGTGTGCCTCAATAGATTTTCTTTTGACATTTCACCTTGAAGTAAAATCTGGAAATGAAAAGCAGAACAGTTTTTCTTTCCCTATGAAATATACTGGAAGATTGCTTGTACAGAAAGAAGGAAGACTTAATTACAAAATAACCCCTCTTAAATAGTGAGTTCAGAACATCAATTTTGAACCAAGTCAGTATATTTATCAGCTTATATGTTAGCTCTAGCATTTGCTTTTTCAAGGTTCTGAAAAAATTATCCAAAACATCAAGTTTCATTTCATATTAAAACAGGCAATATTGGCTTTCTGATCCTATTCTTACTGGGCCATTCCAAAGCTCTTAGGATACATCCAAGCAACATATTTCAGTAATCCTTAGAACAATTCCTGTAAGGTAAATCAATAAGTTAATAAAAGGGTTATTCCATCCCAAAGGAAAAAAAAGATGAAAGCTGAGAAGATGGAAGCCAATTTACACCTAGCATCTTTTCTTTCTTATGCACTAGATTTAAAAACAGTGTTCACGGAACCTGCTAAATATAATGTGGTTGGATTGGTGCGATGTGAATTCAACCAAAAGCAGTTTATTGAATAAGCAATATTAGAAACCTAGCTTTTTTTTAGAGAACGAAGGGACAGCATCTAGAGATAGGTATCGTCCATTGTTTAACTTCAATGTGTTCTCTTTACAATGCCAGTCCACAGAGGATCTATCCTGTGTAAATATCCTTTTAGTTTTCTCCCTTTTTATGGTTGTGAGGATTCTCCACCATGCTGTGATAAAATGTCAGAATTAACAAAAGAGTGGACAGTCATCCAAGAATTGATATCCAAGTTCTATGAATAGATCACAGGGAATGCTAGTGATTTGATTTAACTGCTTAGAAGTTAAAATAAGATTCTATTTGGCTCATTGCTTTGGGATAAAACCTGAAATACTTCCTTGTGTCCAAGCAAGTGTAAAAGAACCTAGAGCTGACATTTGAAGAAGGTATGAGAAAGCCATTTGCGGTGGAGGGCTTGGAGAAAAGACTACAAAGTCCTGAGATAGAGGGAAGTGTGAGAAAGAAACTCAAAATAGCCCTGCCTTGATTTTCTTTAGTATAAGATGGGACAGAGAAAAACATGGAAAGGCCTTTTCTTTCCTGCTGTTATTAAGAAATTTTTAAAAAATGTGTCAATTTCTACTTTCAAGCACCTAGATATTTACCAGGGAATCCAGTTGTCTTCTGTCCCTCTAGCTGTAATGGCCACAGCAGGCAATCTTAGAAAGTCATTTCTCACTTGCCAACGGTAAAATGCAAGGCCATATTTCCACAATGGGTAAGCTAAACAGTGCCAGCTCCAGCTGATTTGCAAAGCTAGGAAGAGGGGGGTGACCTAGACCACCTATGTTATAGATCTAGAAGGCAAATTAGAAATAACTACAGGTAGTCCTCACTTAACGACCACAATTGGGACTGGCTATCCCATCACTAAGCGATGTGGTTGTTAAGTGAGACATCAAGTGTCCGCAACAGACTCATGACTTCACTTCTGCCGCAGTCAAGTGAATCACCCACGATCATTAAGACATCACATGACTGTGACTTGTGATTTTACTGCTGGCTTTTCGATTGACTTTGCTTATTGGACGCTGGCTATGAAGTGTGGAAATGGCAATCGTGTGACTGTGGAACACTGCAATGGTCGTAAGTGCAAGGACCAATCATAAAGTTACTTTTTCAGCACTGTTGTAACTTCAAACAGTCACTAAACAGGGCAGTTGTTAAGCAAGGACTACCTGTAATTTGAGAGGTAGAGAAGACAGTGACCTGACCATCTAGGTACTAAGTATTGATGATGGTTCCCCAGGTGAGTATTGATAACTACCTTGATTTTTCCTTCTGAAGATTGGTCAACAAGTGATCCTTACTAAGTTGACCCTTAATTCTGATTTAAAGCTAATTTCTTTTGGCAAAAGTAAAGTTTCTTTCCTTAACCCAAGACTCTCTGTTGGATCGCAGCTTCCGTCTTCCCCCATCACACTTTCTGTGGACCTGGGATTTATACTGCAGGACCTATGAAAGGTTCAGTTTCGGAGACTGCAGCTTTGCAGTGGATGATGGGAGCCTAGATAGGTGACGGGTTAGGAAATTGTCCTCTGCCGCACCCTGAATATTGATGACCCAGCCATAGTAATAGAACAGGAAAGGAAATGGATACTGAACATTGGATGTGTTTGAACCTCTCTCAGCATTTTCTCATCTTTGAAGGATTTAAACAATTGGTGCTTTTGTCTGTTCTGTCTTTCCACATGCACCGCAGTGGTTAAGTTCTCTAAAGTTAATTATATGATTCTGGACAGGGAATGTATACATCAGATTGTCCCAGCAATTCACAGTGCCAGTTGGAAGTCTTGAAAAAGTCTTCTGACATTCTTTAAAAGTGCAGGAACACAGAATTCCTGCCTTCTCCCTTTGCAGAGCTTAAGCAAGTCCAGGCAACAGCCACATACTTTTGAAAGAGTCATCACCGGATGAGAAGCAAAGAATTTGCAAAGGGACGAACCTTGGGCTTCTTGAACAATCCAGAAGAGGCTCTGAAACGTGCAGGTAAGACATTTTCCCCTTTGTACTGGGGCTTTTATTACAAGGGTTTCTTCTTGGTTTGATTGAGACGGCATTAGTTATTCTTGCAGAAAAGAACAATCTGAGAAAAGTTCAGCTTTGCTTTCCAAATGGCAACTCTTGGAAGAAAATACTCAGAGAAAATAGTCTTTTGTAAAATTCCTACTGGAGGAAAAAAAAATGGCTTGATGACCTTGAATACTTGTGCCCAGGCTGGGACTGGGATCTTTGGTTGGCACCTAAATATTCCCTGGCAACTTCTTTTTTTTTTGCTGTATCCCCATGATGTTTCCTTCATCTCGTCCCCAGCCCATGAGTGAGATTGCCTTCAGTCTCCCTTGGCTATACTGCTGTTTATGTTGCATTTCCGTCATTCTTCCAGCCTTGTCCAGGAGCAGCCTCAAAGCATTCAAAATCTTTGTTACCCATGACCTTGGAAGGAAGTCAGGAGAAGGGCAGTGACTGGAACAGAGTCAGTAAAGGCAGGATAGGGATTGGCAGTGGGGACAATCTATTTCATGCGGATGCCATTTCCTACCAACACAAGGATGGGTGGAGAGCAATTCAGCTAAGCAGAGGGAAAAGGCCCTTAAAGTGCTATGATCATGTTTTTTTTCATTTGCTTCAGAACTGAGTGCAGATTTTGGTTGGATGCAGGAACGAGAGAAAGAGAAAGAGAGAAACAGCCTTCCTATATATACACCAAGTGAAACACTTACAAGGATCCTGCCATTTCATCTGTGTTTAATGTCAGGAATATCATTATTGTAATTATAGCAATTGGTTGATCAATCAATTCAATGAATTGTTTGAACCATTTTTTTTATTAAGTAAAAGAGTAGTTGTTTATTATGATTTCTTGGATTTATACCCTGCCTTTCATTCAGGAGCTCAAGGCAATGTATATAATGTTCCTGTTTTTCCTCATAACAACCCCCTACCCTTAGAAAAAAATAGACAACTATTTTGATCCATGAGAAAGGAAAACAACCCACATGAAAGATGGGTAACAGTGTCTCCTCTATCAAGATGCTTGCTGTAATAACCTTTATAAATCCCCAATCCACTATTTGGCAATACTTTCTTAAAAAGTAAAGTCTCCTTGGAATTGTTCTCCGCTTCTGATGATCCATGGGGCTATCCAGATGATATTTGTGGCAATAGCATGGAAGTCCTTCACCTTCTTTGAGGAAGGTTGATTTTTTTTTAATTTGTAGTGTAGCTCATAGCCCTGGTACTTCCTGATAATCTTCCATCCAAGTTCTTCCAAGCACAACCCCACTTAGCTTCCAAGCCAAGACCAAGTCAGCCATTTCCTGGCCCCGATAAGACTTCAACCAAATGCTTTTCCATTATTTTGGTTGATCTTAATAAAAACAATACCAAGTGTGTTATCTGGAATTTATTAAGAACTTCACTGGGCATGTGCCTTATTAAAGAGAGGCATTTCCATCTAAGAGAGACAAAAGAGAATACTTCTTCTAAGATTGTGCTTACTTAGGGATTTAAATCCTGATTCCTTCCCTTGCCTGAAAAGATTACTTATATTTTTCCAGTTTACAAGTACATACTGGATGGGATGTTTTGTGACAGGCAACCTATAACTCCAAAGTTTGTTGGATGGGAAATAGGAGTTCTGATATTTTCCTTTCTTCTTGATGATTCTTTTAAAACTTTCCATACAAAACATACAGAGGGAAGAGAAAATATCCACAGTGGCTTATAAGTCACATAGACTGGGATTCCAGCCTGAAGTTGGAAGTCTTAGGAACCAGAGGACACTCTGATACACCTCTGGGATCCTCAGAATTGGACCCAACTCTCAACAGAAATTATTTTCCTCCACCAATGGAGATTTCAGTAGGTGTAGATTTCTTCAGACCTTGAGTGTTCTCCCACTACAGAAATCTTGTGGTATTCAGGAACATCTGAAAGGAGTTTTAAAAAAAATCAAGGTGGCCACAACCACACAGTTGAAGCCCCACCCCCTTTTAATGTGTTTTGCAAGTAAAAAAAAGGGGTGGGGCTTCAACTTTCATCTTGACTTTTTTGACCCCTGCTGTAGTTTCCCCTGAAGGACTCACTCTAAATTAAAGACTAGAATTTGATTTCTTTTTCTACTAGGAAATTGATTTTTAAGAATTCTACTTGGCCAGTTTCCAGGAAATTCCTTTAGTTTTCACCATATGAAATTTAACTGAATGCCCATATTTGCACATAATACTAAGTTGGGAATCCTACTTTAATAAATCACAGGGTCTACATTCATTCATCACGTTAAGCCAGAGTTTATTGGCTATCCAATTCCAGAGTCCACTGGAGTTGGGTGGCCAATAAATTTAAAATAATAATAATAATAATAATAATTATTATTATTATTATTATTTCTTACAATAATGGTTTGCTGAACAATAGCATGGTTTACAAATAACTTTAAGTCATAAACTTGAGTTTACAAAATCATAGTGACTAAGTTTCAAATAACTAGTTAGGCATCTTGTGTGGAATCAAACTTGCTTCCTTGTGTTATTTAGTTAGTGTTCACCATTATGTACCCAGTGAAAGTACAGACATCATTTGCAGTTAGGGTCTTTGAGTTTCCAGTTTGAAGATACATCTTTTTTTAAAGTTAATAACTGGGAATGGAACTGCATGCATGTCAGAACAAGAAAAAATGTATACTGTGATTGGCATGGCATTCATGTATCATGTACAAACTTGTGACTCTTTTTGTATTAATTTAGCAATTTATAAAAAGGGAAAGGATAACTAGACTTGGCTATTTTGAAACATCTCCTAGAAACAATGTTGTGCTTGGATTCCCTACTTTGTGCTGAAGAGATTTAACTATAGGTTAAATTCCCCCACTCCCCCTTACCTTGCCATCTTTTTTGGCTGCAGAAATGTTATTTTATGAGAGCTCCGCATTCAGGCTTCAATCATCACTAAATGTTAATGAAGGTTTCTAATGATGGTGAGTGTAGCTCACTTCTCTATATGTGTGAGAGGTTCTGTGGTGCCAGCTTATCTAAACTTGGTTCCTGTTGGAAGGTAGATAAAAGGGTGAAATCCTTGACTTTTGGAGATTTCACAGACATATCCTGATAGATTTTTTGCAACAATATGGACAACTTCCAGGATGGTTTTTTCAACTTCCTGATCTAGTCTATAGCCCTAAATTTCCTGTGGTCTCCCACCCAAGCCCTCAATATGTTTTTTTCTCTCTTCATGTTGAGAATAGCTATCCCAATTTTGCTATCCATTATCCATGAAAGTTGGTTATGCTGGCTGAGATTGATGGGAGGCATAGTACAACCACACCTGTAGGGTCACACTTTCTCCGTTCAATGACAACCCCCCCTTTTTTTTAAATATTTATTCACAGCATTTGTCAAAACAAAATAACAATTTGAAAGGTAAACAATTATAGGAGTTGATAGGCTGAAATATGTGCTGAATTGGTAGGAGGTGAAAATATAATCTTCTGAATAGCTGTTGTAAGGGATGTGCGCTAAAGAGTTGCTGGTTGCCCAATGTGAGTAATTAAGTAGTTGCTGAGTAAGCAGAGGCTGTATGAAATATATAAAGCAGACATATTCTAGGGAATGAGTAAATGTACAAGGAAGAGAATGGTTAGAGAAGTCCAAACAGGTCTTGACTTTAAGGAACACTAAAACTGAGCATAGGTACCTTAGACTTTGAAACACACACACACATAAATATATACATAACCATTAAACATCTACTACATGTTTACTGCACTTTGTAGAGCAAATAACAAGTGCAGAAAATGTAGTAGATGTGGTAAGATACAGTAAGCAAAAGAAATTGGAGGCAGGCGATATGAAAGGACATCTAAATGTAGTTTACACCAACACCATTCCCTATACCTTTTCATCCTTGCTTCCATTATATCCACACATTGATTCATATACCGTACTGCCTTTTTTGCCTTTGAATTTCTTAATAAACTTAGATCAATATTAAGAAAGAACCCAGGGGAGGAGAAGCTAAAGGGAAAAGGAGCTCAAAAGCACAATTGCAAATGATTCCAAGGAGGAGAAAAAAATGGCTAACAACAGAAAAAGACAATATGGCTTCCAAAAGACCTTAATGAAGATCTGAAAATAGAAAGTGATACATATAGGAAATGGAAAGAGAGCCAAGTCTCCAAGGAAGAGGACAGAGGGCAACCTCGAACTAATGTCAGTAAAGTGAAAGTTGGGATTAGTGAAGGATGCTAAGAATAACAAAAAAACCTTCTTTAGCTTTGCTTAAAATGAAGTCAGAACAAACTTCCCAAAAGTAGTTGAGCAGTGTTTCTTAACCTTGACAACTTTAAGGTGTGTGGACTTCAACTCCCAGAATTCCCCAGCCAGTCATGCTGGCTGGGGAAT